GCATTATGTAAAATTGTGGATGTGTAACCGACGTGATTCTGCAATCTGCATTTGGGGTAAAATTGGGAGTTCATAACCCACTTCAAACTAATGTATGAAATATGATATGTCATGAGCTTTGTAATGTTGTGAACAACCAATAAAAATAATAATAATAAAAAAAAGACCCTGCTCAAATTTCAATCTCCTCCATGAAGTTTCTTCTGAACTCTGACGTAAATTGTGTCATTTTTGTATTACCACTATTTAGATTCCTGTATTAGTTCTTATCTCACTGTATTGTAGTGTTCTACATGTCTCTCTTTCTGACTAAATTGTGTGATCTTTGAAGCAAGATGACTGTCTTATTCATCCTTGGATCATCAATGTCAAATACAATATCTAGTACCTACTAAGTGCTCTAGAATTATTTTCTCAGTGGAAGCATCAGGAAGTCAGCTTTGGGGACTATTTAGAATAAAAAAATAAGTAAAACATGGACTGGGGGCTGGGACTGTAGCTCAGTGGTAGAGCACTTGCCTAGCACACTGGGTTCAATCCTCAGCACCACATATAAATAAATAAATAAAATAAAGGTATTTATAAAAAAGAAAAACATGGGCTAGGATTGTAGCTCAGGGGTAGAGCGCTTTCTTAGCATGTGTGAGGCACTGGGTTCTATTCTCAGCACCACATAAAAAATAAATACATAAAATAAAGGTATTGTGTCCATCCACAACTAAAAATGTTTTTAAAGAACAAAGCAAAACAATAGCTGAATGAAGGTAGATGATTATGTCTATTTTGCTCCAGTGCATCTTTCACACCTGACACCTATTTGAAACAAAAATGTGTTGAATAGATGAATCCTTATTGCAAAAAACATATCTTCAAAATATGGATTTATTTACCTGTGTGAATTAATCACAATCTTGGGTCCAACTCTCTTCCTTGAAGGCTTAGGGACCTTGATTCTGTCAGCATACCAAAAATTCATGTCTCTCAGTGGTGATCTTACACATCAAAGATCTCAAAGACATACAAGAATTATTAGCAAATGTTTCATCATAGGATATATCATCATTAGGTACCAAGACTACCAATGCCAACTTTTCTCATATTTCCTTTCATTATAGGTAAAACTTCTTAAGAAATCTAATTAATATCAAAAGGGCTACAGCTGTCACAAGACAAAAATATTTTGAGTCCTTGTGTCCTACACATTGCCTCCCATCCAGGCACAGCTATCGTCTAGTTCTTTGTAATTTTATAATTTTTAAATATGTTTTTGTTATCCCCCATCTACTCACAAATATTCTTCATATAAGATAAGAAGGTAATAAATTATAATCACCTTTCTCTGCATCTTCTTCGGGTTATACTCAGTTCAGCATGATTGGATATATGTGTGTCCACCAACTCTTTGTAGTCACAGATTTACAGGCAGATCTTTGGTTTCTTTAGTGCTTCATCCGTATTCATTGTATATAAATTTTTAAAGGCATAACTTTCAGAGGAAGCTTTATAACTTTATTTCTAAGTTTTTGCAAAATATGATACCTCATTGTAACCTAAGTTACTACTAAGACTAATAATTTCTAGATGTTATAGAAACATTGAAATGTACGTCACTGTTATTGTCTAAATGGAATTTTTAAGAACCAGAGTATAAACCAGAATGAAATTGATTTGTTCCTTCTGTTCTGACCCATGGTCCTAATATGTATGTGCTGAATGAATTTTTCTATTTTTTTTCCTATAGGCATTATATCTGATAGCCACTAATGGAACTCCAGAGCTCCAGAATCCTGAGAGACTGTCAGCTGTATTCCGTGACTTTTTAAATCGCTGTCTTGAGATGGATGTGGATAGGCGAGGATCTGCCAAGGAGCTTTTGCAGGTGAAAATAAAAGACAATTGCACAGAGGTCTTCCATCACAATGTGTGACAGTAAGAGAGCTCTTTCAAGAGATATGTAGTTAGAGTTAGGCTATTACCATTTGATTTTAGACCACAAGCACATAAGTATAGGCATGCATCTTGATTGACATGTTACCTTTCTTCTGAAAAGTTGGCAGTTTAATCTATAAATCTCTTTTATTCTTCCTGGAGTCTTATTTTGCAAGGGAAAAAAACAATGTGACCCTCTGGTGTTGCTGTTTTGTTCTAAACTTTACTTGTGCCCCTGGATGTTGTATGCAGGTGCTCTTGGCCGGAGGTAATTCTCTACATAACTATGCAATTATTTCCATGGCATTTGCTACTCTAATGCTTTACTGGTCAAAGCCCCTTTGCTTGTGATGCCAATTGGCAGGCACCTGCTTGCCTGGGTGAGTACCATCCAGTGGTGAGTGCCTCTGTAACCATTTGTCCTTTTCATGGCTCTCAGGGATGACTATATATGATGGTAGTTAGTACCTATTATCTACCAAATTATGTACATACATTACCTCATTTAATTCTTACAAAAACTTTATAGCATGGTTATTATTATCCTGTTTTACAGACATGGAAACTGAGGCTCACAGAGCTCTCGAATGGCAGAGTTGATATTTGAGCCCTAGATTGTCTGAATCCCCACCACACATCACACACAAACAAATTTCAATTAAAAAGATGTATCTATTTGACAAAGAATCACATGGCTAGGATTACACACATAGCTTCACTGCTGGGGACTATTTCTCAGAGACAGGTATCAAGACCTTTAACATCTAAGAACAATGGCAACTTATTCTGTCTGTGACTTTGAACACACACACCAATTAAACAAAAGGTGCAACACTTGCTTATGCACAACTTTCACCACAAAATCACTGTGTTCTGTCCCATCCTGCACAGAAAAATCTCTTCTTGTGAATTCTAAACTCCCTTCCAAGACAGAACCACATCTGGGCAAAAAAAAAAAAAAATCTAAATCATACCTTGGATCAAGCTATTTGGAGGAACTAAAGAGACCACACCTTCTCTTTTCTGCTCTCCATGACATTTCACAGGTTAACATAGGGTCCTGAAATGTCAAATCTGAAATGACACTTTGTTAATCTACTACTTAATCCAGCTTTGAATTACAGATGAAAACCCTGAACTTTTGAGTGCTTTGCTTCCATATTTTTTATGCCTCCCACTACCCCACAAATACACCCTGATATAATTTCCTGTTATACCCTCTTCCAGGGATGACTAAAGATACAGGTTCTTTAAATATAGCTATACAGCTAAGTAGATCATTAAATCAATTATCTAGTTAATTATTTACCCAACAGTACTTTTATATGAACCAGTCAGATAACTGATGCAAAACTATATTTTAAGTGTGAATTGAATAGTTCATTTGTTGCATCTTTTCATTTTACACAAATAAACAAGAATCTGCATATCTCCTTAAGTCCATTCTCCAACGTTAGCCTATCATTGTGCTCCTTAGAGGTTACAAAAGAAATACTTAACAAAATGATGGAGACACAACTATTGGATTTAGCAGTTAGAAAGCCATTGGCTTCAGAAAAAAATTCTGTAGTCATTAACTGAAGGCACACTTTCAAATATAAGGGCTATTCCAGAAAAATTCATCAGTTCAAGAAAGTCTGACAATTACAAACTCAGTGAGGTTTTACAAGATCCCTACTTTAGAGTTTTTAATGATGCTAATCAGTTTCCAGAGGATTTTCATGACACAGATGAAACATCTCAAGGACAAAAGCTGGCACCATGGAGTTTTTGTTGTTGTTGTTGTTGTTGTTTTTAATATTTTTTCTTTTTAGTGATGAACACAACTTTCTTATTTATTTTTATGTGGTGCTGAGGATCAAACCCAGTGCCTCACACGTGCAAGGCAAGTGCTCCACCACTGAGCCACAACCCCAGCCCCTGGCACCATGTTTTTTAATTAAATGATGTTTAATTGGGTACTCAAATACATTTTAATGAGAAAAGGCTGCTTGAAAATGTAAAGTAATATACATGTTGAAGGAAAGAATTCCAGTAATTCTTCTTTTTTCTCTTCCTTTTGCAGCACCCATTTTTAAAACTAGCCAAGCCTCTCTCCAGCCTGACTCCTCTGATTATCGCTGCAAAGGAAGCGATTAAGAACAGCAGCCGCTAGGACTGCACGCCTTACCCCTCACCATCTCCCTCATGAGTAAGACTGAAATAAAACTCTGCTGCAGGAAAGATGAAAGAAAAGACAGTCAAATAGGGTGGGGGTTCTTTAACTTTCAAATGATTAGAAACTTCTTATAAGCCTTTTCCTACTCCCTCAGATTATGTAATTTATTTGTAAGCCTGAATCGCAGCCCAAACAGGGCAGCAATGTCGAAGTGGCCATCAAGTGGTCACTTCCACCGTGAAGCGAAAGAGCCAGTAGTGAATCCCCTCATTTTGTGCATTCACTTTGAAGAAAAAGATTTCTCAAAGATGCACATTCCCTCTTCATAGTGTTGTGTTTGTTTTTAAGTTAGAGAGTAGTACCTCTTACATTCAAACCTCCTTCAAAACCCCTTACCCAATGTGATGTTTTTCACTTGCATTGTCATTAGATGTCCAGAAAAAAGATGTCAAGATGTTTTTTTTTTAAAAAAAGAAAGAAAAAAAAGCAAAGCAAAAAAAAAAAACAAAACAAAACAAAAAAAAAACACAACAAACAAAAAAAAAATAGAGCAAGTACTGTGTGAACATGTGGAAGTCCATGCCCTAATAGAGTTGCAATTTTTTATTCTTCTTCTATAGTGGTGGCTTGGTTTGTGTACCTATTTTTCTGCATTTGTATTGGAAAAGGTTTCTTTTAAGACATTTTCCAAAAGCAGAGAGGAGTATGTGTTTTCAGGAAGGGCTTTTAATTACTGTATACCTAAATAAGGTTGAAGTGGTGAAATCCTGTCATTTTCACAACAATGCTTAAGAGTTGGTCAATTTGTCACACAAACCAGCTGGTTAGTTTTCATACTAGAAAAAGGGCACACTAAAACTGTGACATACCTATTGGGTGAGTCTAGGTCCTGAAACCTAGAAAATCCTGATAGAAGAAACCTTACATAAACAAAGTTGGAACTTTCTCTGACAGCCAAAAAGAAAACAAGATATGTGTATAATACTGAAATCCTTGTTGGACATTAAGTAAACAAAGGTAAAGATACCTATTTTATCCTCTCTTGTGCTTTGTGGAACATTTACACTGTAAAATAGGCACGTCAGGAGGGAATAGATTCATGCAACATTTATTTATGATAAAATGATTTATTTTGGCAATTTATAACACTTTAGAAAAAATTCAAAAGATTTGGAGAAGAGAGATATAGTAAGCTTTCAACTCTATATGAAAGCTACATCCCAATCAACATTTGGCTCTGAGCACTTGTTCCCATTTTTCCTGTGTGTTACCAATTTTCTGTTTCAGGATTATGGTGTATATATAGTTCTCAGAGCTTTGAATTTCAAAATTATGTTCATAAAAATCTTTCAATTCCCCAGTGAAAGTAATTTTGCTTCCTAATTAGATATTCCAAGAAATAATAGTCCAACTGAATTCCTTCTGTGGCTTGGGGAAAATACCAAAAATTGACAGTAATTTCACCATATATTTATTGATTAAAAATTCAACACTTAGTACTTCCTGAATCTTCTGAAAGTAGAAAAAATGTCTGGAAGGTATCTGCATAGAAAAGGATATGCTTCTCTTTTGAGAGTATTAGCAGTTTTATAAATTCTGGAAAGTTTTTTCTCTAAGCCTTTGAAAAGCTAACAATCTGTTGTAGGAGGCTTCATAATTTGTAAGTATATAAGGAATCTGAATAGAACCTATCATCTACATTCACCCACAGGGGGAAAGAGATTAATGACCATAGGCCTCTGTCCTTCTCTGTGAGGTACACCTTTCCATCTAACATCTATGACCATTCCTTAAAAAGAAAGCACTTTCTTTAGAGTTTCTGCTAACCATATAGTGTACATGTTTATGTTTAGAAGATGACACCACTGATGGATTTCCTATTTTCCTACTGTTGTTTTCTTTGACTATAAAATTTGGGAGGAGCTTGACCCTCTTGCTCCCCTGCAAAACAAGGTCCACAGTGGGATAAACAACAAATGTGGGGAAAAAAAAGCTCAAATGGTAATATTAATTTGAAGCATATTATGTTATACTTTGCAAAGAGGTGTCTGGGCCTAAAGTTTTTAATGCCACACTGTTCTAGTATAAAAGAGAGGCCTTAATTTTGATTTCTTTATAAATTAAGCTTTTTGTTCACTCATAGTGCCAGGTAATTCAATGAAGTACCTGGGGTGCAAATAGAATTCATTACCCTGATGACTATACCCTGCCAGTAGAAAGAGCCGAAAACCTGGTTGGGAAACCCTAGTCATCAGTTAGCATCCCTTATATGTTGCAAAGGCCCTTTTTTGTTATTTTGGAGACCCTGGAGCAGTGATCCTTCAGATCACTGTAGGCAGAGAAATGGCTGCTCTTTATACTTTCAGTTTAACATATTAACAATGAGGAGTCAAGTACTTTTTTACCATCACTTTGTACCAAGACTTGATGATATTATATCACAGTAGGCATTACTCTTACAAATTTAAATCTATGTAAATTTCAGTGAGAAAAGCTTCTGAAACCCTTTCCTTGTGTTGGGGAGTTATGTATATTTCTTATAAGTATTAGAGAGAAGCTGTTTCTTGTGCCAAAATGCTGCCGAAAGATTCACATTTGGTACACTCAAACAACTTGGACTCCAGATGGTTTATAGTTTATTCCCTTTCCCTGAATTTTTTTTTCACTCATCTTGACATAGGTGAGTCTATCCAGATCTTTAATGTTGCTAGTATGCCCTGAGATAGTGAGGGCACATTATCGAATGTTGATTCCAAAATGTCCTGATAGAGGAATAGGGCAGTGGGAAAGTCAGGGAAGGGTGAGAAGCACAGTAGAGATTATTTATTTAAGAAAGAAAAGAACATTAATGTTGTAGCAAGGATCCGGTGCGTTGTCATAATCCCATGAGGATTTTGGGATGACACTATCCCCTCAAATCAGTCACCATGTTGGGTAATGACTTCGTTCTTGCTGATCTCGTTCTATGTGTCATTGTAAATATTTGTGCGTCCATGTTCCATTTTGGCTACTGGATGGCCAAGTCATGTGAAGATTTAACTCAAGTATTTATTGTTTAATTGTGTTATTCAGATTTCTTTCCAGCTTGTGAATTGCGCCCAGTTTTTTAGTTTAAACATCTGATCCTCACATCTATCCCTCCCCTGTGAAGCACATTCCATTGCTAAAAGAAAAAGAAATACGAAATTGCTTCCTGTTGTCCGTAAACTGTTTTGATAGTTTGAGATGTTTGTCTATAAAGGATATTTCTCAGCTCAAAGATCGTGTAAATACTTATATTCCTTTGCTGAATGGGTTGTTTATTTCTAATGAGGCTGCCAGTTCTCAGAGAGATTCTATAAAATCACTTTTACATATCAAACAGGGATTACAACTATGTTAAAATAAGTGTGCATATGGACAAAGACTGGGAGGGAACACAGATAATTGAAATCAGTTGTGTTAGGGTGGTGGGATTATGTGAATTTTTTTTTCTTTTTGCAATTTTCTTTGATGTTGTTACTTTTTAATGAATAAACATCAGAAAGGGAACTATAGAAACATAGAAAAGATGCCAGAAGCAGAGGCCTTCTGGCCAGAGCCCAGAGCATGCAGGGCACAGATATTTGCTAGTTACAATATTCCATAGGCTTTATACTTGCCTGGGTGCTGAGGTTGGCACACGCTCAGGTATGGCACGTGCTTTCTTAGGAGACTATTATCTAAGTCCTAACTAGGGAGAGGCCACTACAAGAACTCCAAATACATTGTTCTGCTTTAAAACAGGCTGCCCTCTGCTTTAGTGTGACATCCAGGTGTCTACTTTGGTTACTTTAAGTCAGAGGGATGACCATTTGATTACCCACTTGATAAATGTTTCCAGTAACAACTTTCTGGATCATCTTAACAGATTTTCAGGTTGAATTTTGGAGGATTAAAAGGATAAAATCCCAAACTCTCACCATTTCTTTGTCCAACAAGATCTTATCATCTAAGTAGACTTCTTCTTTTAGTGACCAATAGGCAAGTCTCAATGATTTCAATAGAAGTTATGACTTGCAATGAAAAGCTGACTCTGAAATCATTAAGACAAATACTTAGGATTATCTCTACCTGTTGGCATTCAGTTACATTCATTCCTGTTAGTTTTGGCTTGGAGTGGTCTCCGAGTGCTTCTGTATGGATTAATTAAAGGTTGTACACAGTAATTGTGGTTTTTAAGAGAAAGGGAGACCATCTACCAAAAGAGAAATTTCCTTCCAACTCATAAAAATAAAATTTAAGTGAGGACTTTTAATAAGGAAGTAGTGGCCTCAAATATGTTAATCACTTTCATCAGAAACAGACCCTATACCTTGAAAATTCACAGGCTTTTCATTAGCCATTCTCAGTGTAAAAGTACTCATGGAGGTGTTTACCTTGCAATCCCCACTTGAATCTCATGGTCCTTTTTTGAGCTACTTGCAGTTAATATTTAGTTAAACAAATGCATAGCCAGTGGTGCAAGCATCTCCCAGTCTCTGAGCAAGAGGATGGAAATTCAGTATTTGTAAACTGACAGTCTAATAGGCCTGGGAATTTGAGTGACCTTAATACATGACTCTGAACATATATTTGCATGTGGATTGGGAAGGAAATAAATGGGACTTTGGAAATAATGGAAATATTTTTCTTATGGAAGTTTTTCATTAAAAAATTATTTCTACTATAATTATTCTGTTGGTTAGCTTTTAGTTTGCACTCCTTTTTCTGATTTACACTCCTTTAGTGACCAAATGAATATAACCCAACTTCTCATACATTGGGAATGTCTGCTTAATATTAAATAGTATGTAATTGAATCTGCAAATGCGGGAACTGAGATGCCACCTCCATATGCACACCTCTGCATATAAGTATACTATACAACTTGTAGCATTTACTGTCACTTAATTTGATTGAACTTGAAAGATAAATTTGTAGAATCTGGTTAGTGCCATCAATCTCCTTTGGAAGCTGCCATCAGGTGAATGCTATCCTATAATACCAATAGTAAGGCAGGAACTATGTTCACCTGACTTAGTACCCAAGAGGAAATTGACAGTAATTCTAGAGAATGAGTCAGATACAGTGGAAAGAATTCTAGCCTAGGAAGAAGGAGACCTGAATACTAATAGACTTTATTACTAACTTGCATTGTGACCCTAGGCATAACCTTTCCATGACTGTTTTCTCATGTCAAATAAGGGTGTTTGTGTAGCTGCTCTCCAGAGTCTT